CCCCTTATGTTTAGTATTTCGCTTTTCGCTCATTAGAAGAAAAAGCATAAGGAATATTTTCTGTACACCAATAACTTTCCATTGTAAATATAGACAAAAGAATTGCTATAAATTTATTAAATAAAAACAAACGATAGCATTGCGTCTCTTTATACATGAAATTTATTATGCTAGCTTTCGGATCTTATCGATCCTTCCACAGGCCAAGCTGTAAGTTGAGAGAAAGAGTATATATAGTTGTACAATATTATTTATATACACCTAACGAAGATAGAAAATAAAATAAATATAAACACAATGTGTTTATATTTATTTTATTTTCTATCTTCGTTAGGTGTATATAAATAATATTGTACAACTATATATACTCTTTCTCTCAACTTACAGCTTGGCCTGTGGAAGGATCGATAAGATCCGAAAGCTAGCATAATAAATTTCATGTATAAAGAGACGCAATGCTATCGTTTGTTTTTATTTAACCAATAACTTTAGAAATTTTGTACAAAAAAATAATACAAAATGATTTTACTACCACGTTTTTCAACGCAAAAGGTCGATTTGAAAAATATTTTTATTTGAGGGGACACATTTTTTAAAATTGGGTACAGTATGAGAGAGAGTTGAATTAAAAATATTAGAAATTTATTATCTTTGGAATAAAACCGTATCTAAAATATCAATTTTTTTTTTGCTACATGTTTTAATTTGCATTTACCTATTTTACATATCTCTGATTGTATTTAAAAATTGTTAACCAATTCTTCATACTTTTGGCGGAGTGGTGTTTTATTAATTTGTTATTTGATATTATTAGGGTTCTTTCCTGGTATTCAAAAAGGAAAAATACATGTCTATCAGTTATATTTTTCAATTTATCAAACAATTTGTCCGCTGAATCTCTGATTCTGGTAGTGTGCCATCTGGCGAATAAGATTGTAACTAAAATTAATTTCGAATTTTTCATTATTTGCCATAAAAAATCCCATTGCATCCTGAACACAATGGTTTTTACCGCATTGCTCTAGCGCAAATATTCGCGGAGTTATTAATTTTTAAAATAGTGCGGGACTTTTGGATCACCCTGTATGTACAGAGGGTGTTCCATTTTAAAAATAACATTTTTGCAGACAAAATCTCCAGACTTAGCTCCTATAGATTTTTGCTTGCTTAAAACTGCTCTTAGATCTAGAAACCCGAAGACGCTAGAGGGTCTTTGGAAAGGCTGAGAAGCATTAGAGCTGAGAGAGGACAAGATGGTATCAATAGAAGGATATCTGACC